CCCCAAAACCCCAAAACCCCAAAACCCCAATAGTATAATATTGGCTTATTTAGAAGTTAAAATAAGGTTGAAATAAATTAATGGTTGATATAATTAAATTATTTAAGAGTAATAATGAACTCTAGAAAATTCTTGAAGAAAGTTAGGTAAATAACAGAGAGAAGACCAAGAGATGTCCCTCATAAACTACCAATATTTCACAACTTGGTTCAGCGAATGAAGGATAGAGATACTCGTTACTACACTTTTATCTCATTATTTACAACTGGATATATGTATTCTCTCTACAAAGCCACAAGATCTGAGAGTGAAGTTTTAAGAATGGGAGCAGCAGGCTCGATAACTGTGTTACTGGGAGAGAGTACCTTTTATTGCATAGATGCAATCAATATGAGGTCTAAGATTTTGAATGAGAATGTGAGATTCATAGATATGGTGAGGCATATTTTAAAGAATGAGGGTATTTATGGTCTTTACAAGGGTTATTCCGCTTCTTATTATAGTTCCATTCTGTATGGTTATCTTTACTTTTATATCTATAAGGGACTAAAACTGTAATTGAAAGATTAATTTCAGCCATCATCTACCAGTTAATTCGCAGCAATATATGCTAGTGCTTCAACAATTGCAGAGGTCATTGCACTAATGATTTATTATCCCTATGAATTGGTGAAAGTAAGATTCTTAACAAAGAATGACAAATACGGTTATCATTCAGTGTCTGATGCCTTTTATAAAATTTTAAAAAAGGATCACTTTAGTGGACTCTATAGAGGACTATTCGCTTTCTTCATTACATTTATGGGATAATACACTCTTCAAATGACAGCCTATGAGCTTATTATTGATCGAAATGTCAAAGCATTAGGTCTAAAGGAATATTAAAAGTATGAAAGTTATTATGTCATGAAAGCTTCGGTTTTGAGTGGAGTTGTTGCAGCATTATTTACTAATAGTTTGGAAGTTATAGTGGTTAGGCAACAAAGTGAGAGTGGTTAGACTGTTCAGTAAATATTCAAAGAAGAAGGATTAAAAGTGTTTACAAAAGGTCTAGGGGCTAAATTACTTATGACGTCGTGTTCTAGTATAATGTTCTTTATGAGTATGCATCACATAGGAAAGTTGTTTAATACTAACCTCAATGAGGAGTCTGAATGAGTATATTAATGTGTAGTTATTCAACAACTAAAAGTATTATTGTACATATCAATGTAACTCAATGCCATCCATCCAGACATAAATAGACTTTACTTTTTTATTATCTGCAATAATTCCTTAATTAATATCCAATTTATAACTCAAACTATTTTACGGGGTTTTGGGGTTTTGGGGTTTTGGGGTTTTGGGG